ATTTTTGTATTTTTAGTAGAGATGGGGTTTCACCATGTTGGCCAGGATGGTCTTGAATTCCTGACCTCAGGTGATCTGCCTGCCTCGGCCTCCCAAAGTGCTGGGATTACAGGCATGAGCCACCTGTTTGTTTTTGTTTTTGGAGACAGGGTCTTGCTCTATCGCCCAGGCTGAGTGCAGTGGCATGATCACAGCTCACTGCTGCAGCCTCACCTCCCAGGCTCAAGCAATCCTCCCACCTCAGCCCCCTGAGTAGCTGAGACTACAGGTATGTGCCACCATGCCTGGCTAATTTGGTTTTTATTTTTTGTAAAGACAAGGTCTCACTATGTTGCCCAGGCTGATCTCAAACTACTGGACTCAAGCAATCCTCCTGTATTGGCCTCTCAAAGTGCTGGGGTTACGGGTGTGACACACCGTAACCAGCCTATTTTTAAATGATTCAGTGTTGGCAGGTTATATGTTTCTGGAAATTTATCCATTTCTATGTTATCAAATTTGTTGCTTTATAATTGTCCATAGTATCTTACAGTCCTTTTTAGTTCTGTGGCATCATTTGTTTTGTCTGCTCTTTCATTTCTGGTTTTTATTATTGGAGTCTTGTCTCTTTTATTAAGTCTAGCAAATGGCTAGTCAATTTTGTTGATATTTTCTAAAAGGCATCTTAGTTTCGTTGATTTTTTAAAATCATTTTTCTCTTTTTATTTCTGTTCAAATCTTTATTATACCCTTCCTTCTACTAGCTTTGGAATTGTTTTTTTTTCTAGTTCCTTAAGGTATAAAGTTATGTTGTTGATTTGAGAGCTTTTTCTTTTTTAATGTGCCTACCACTATAAACGTCCCTCTCAGTACTGCTTTTGCTGCATTCCATAAGTTTTAATATGTTGTGTTTTAATTTTCATTTGTCTCCAGATGTTTTCTAATTTCTCTGGTGATTTCTTTTTGACACAGTGGTTGTTCAAGAGTGTGCTGATTAATCATCACATATTTATGAATTTTCTAGTTTCCCTTTTGATGTTGATTTCTAGTTTCATTTCAGTGTGGTCAGAAAAAATACATAAAGTGATTTCAATCTTCTTAAATTTGTTAAGACTGCTTTTGATGGCCTAATATGTAATTTATACTGGAAAACATTCAATGCGTGCTTGAGAAAAATGTGTGTTCTGCTGTTGTTGGGTGGAATATCCTATATATCTGTTAGGTCCAACTGGTCTATAATATTATGAAGTCCTCTGTTTCCTTTTGATCTGTCTGGTTGACCTATCCCTTATTAAAAGGGAAATATTTAAATATCCTACTGTTACTGTGTTATCATTTCTTCCTTCAATTCTGTTAGTGTTCGCGTATTTATTTGGGTGCTCTGCTGTTAGATGCATATATATTTATACTTGTTTTGACTTCCTGGAGAACTAACCCTTTTATAATTATATAGTGTTGTCTCTTGTGACAGTTTTTCTTAAAGTTTATTTTGTCTAAGTATAGCTAACCTCATTTTTCCTTTTGTTGCTATTTGCATTGAGTATCTCTTTCCATCCTTTCACTTTCAGCCTACCTAAGTCTTCATATCTATAGTGAGTATCTTATAAATAGCATTTATTGTTTGGGGTTTTTATAATTAATTCAGCTACTCTCTGTTATTTGATTGAGGAATTTAAAGTAAACTTTTACATTTGAAGTAATTTCTGATAGAGAAGCTCTCACGATTCCCATAGAACTTACTATTTCCATATGTTTTCCAGTTATTTTGTCTCTCCTTTCTTTTCTTGCTGTCTCCCTTTATGTCTCTTTTCTTTCTTTTTTTTTTTTTTTTTTTGAGTCAGAGTACAGTGGTGCAAACTTGGCTCACTATAGCCTCTGCCTCCTGGGTTCAAGCAATTTTCATGCCTCAGCCTCCTGAGTAGCTGGGATTACAGGCATGCACCACCACCCAGCTAACTTTTTTATTTTTAGTAGAGACAGGATTTCACCATGTTGGTCAGGCTGGTCTTGAACTCCTGACCTCAAGTGATCCACCTGCCTTGGCCTCCCAAAGTGCTGGGATTACAAGTGGAGCCACCACACCCAGTCTGTTTCATTGATTATTTAGTGACATGCTTTTATTCTGTTATTTTCTTTTGTGCATCTTCTGTAGGTATTTTCTTTGTGGTTACCATGAGGATTACATAAAACATCTTACAGTTATAATGATCTCTTTTAAACTGATAATAAGTTAAATCACATATAAACACTTCAATTCTTTGTATCTTTTCTATGTTACCAGTGTCACAAATTACATATTTTTTATATTTTATATTCATTAACATAGTTTTATAGTGAGCTATTTTCTGTGCTTTTATCTTTTAAATCCTATACTGAAATTAAGTGATTTATGCACTCCATAACAGATTATAGAATTCTGTATTTGTCTATATATTTTCCTTCACTAGAAAGCTTTATATTTTCATGCTTTTGTGTTCCTGCCTAGCATCATTTTGTTTCAACTTGAAGGATTCCATTTAGCATTTCTGATAAGGAAGGTCTAGTGGTGATAAATGATGAATTCCCTCAGCTTTTGTTTATCCAAGAAGGTCTTTATTTCTTCTTTATCTTTAAATGAGAATTTTGCCAGATATAGTATTATTGGCAGTATTTTTCTTTCAGCACTTTTAGTATGTCTTCTAACTCTTTCTGACCCGTAACATTTCTGATAAGAAATCCACTGATAACTTATGGGAGCTCCCTTGTATGTGTCAAGTTGCTTTTCTCTTGCTGTTTTGAAGATTCTTTGTCTGTGAAATTTGATAGTTTATAGTGTGTCTCAGTGTGGACCTCTTCTGATTCATCATATCTATAGTCTGTTGAGCTTTCTGAATTTGAATGTCCATCTTCTTCCTCAGATTTTGGAAGTTTTCAATCATCATTTCTTCAAAGAAGCTCTCTGTCCTATTCTCTCTTCTTCTAGAGCTTCCATAATTTATATATTTGTCAGCCAGACTGTATGCCGTAAGTCCCTTATTTTACTTTTCTATTTTTTTACTTTTTACTTTTTTCCTTTTCTTCATTTCTTTGTTGCTGTTGTTACTCTGACTCAATAATTTCAAATGACTTGCCTTTGAGTTAGCTGATTCTTTCCTCTGTTTCATCAAGTCTCTTGTTGATACTCTACAGTGAACGTTCCAATCCAGTTGTTTTCTTCAGCTCTAGAATTTCTATTTTGTTCTTTTTTATAGTTTCTATATCTTTGTTCATATCCTCAATTCTGTTCATGCTTAGTTTACCTGCTGTCATTTAGCTATCTGTATTCTCTTGTAGCACACTGAGCTTCTTTAGGATTGTTATAAATTATTTTTCAAGTAACTAATAGATCTCTATTTCTGTGGAGTCATTTAATGGAGATTTATTTTGCTCCTTTGATTGGTTTCCTGTTTGTATGCCTTGTTATTTTTTATCATAATTTTTGAATTTCAAAACCAGCTACCTCTCCCAATCTTTACATACTGGCTTTGTATAGAGGAAAACCTTCACCAAACAGCACAGCCAGAGAATCTGACAGCCTCTCAATCCTTTTATGAGGATGTGTCTCCTCTCGCCCTCTGCATATAAATTCCCAATTAGAGAAGTTTGTGAGTTTCTTTCTCAGTTTATAGTTTCTTCCTCCCTCTTGTGTCTGTCTGTATTACACAACAGACAGTACTACAACAGGGTACTGAGGTACACAGCAGGGTTTACTGGTGCTACAACAAGCTACTAAGCTCTCTTTTGTTCTCTGCAGCCCCCAGGTAACCAAGGTATGCAGGTTCAGCTAGCACTCTGAGTCTGGCAAGACTGGAATCAACATTCTGGGCAGCCCAACGCATACCTAACCCTTTACTTTTTCACACCCTAAAAAGCTAGTATATTCCATGTACATTTCACTCTTCTCCTTTCAAGGCAGAAGCCATAAGTTGCGCTTCTCCTCCCTATTATGAGATTTGCTGGCTTAAGAGAGGGGTTGACATCATTAAAATGAAACCACTTTTCTTATCTCTTTCAATGAAACTATTCATGGCTTTGATCCTGCCTAGGGTGCTGTGAATTCACAACTGGCTTCTGGAGTGATCCTAAATGTTTTTGGGTCATATATTGTTGTTTTTATTTTTATTTTATTTTTATTTTTTTTTAGAGATGTGGTTTCATCACATTGGCCAGGTTGATCTTGAACTCCTGACTTTGTTATCCACCCGCCTCGGCCTCCCCAAGTGCTGGGATTACAGGCATGAGGGACTGTGTCCGGCCCATATATGGTTGTTAAGTCAGTGTCTTTGTGGGAAAACAAGGTCTAGACGTTCCTATTCTTGCTGACATTACTGTAAACCATTAAGTTTTGAAGTGGTTTGTTGTGCAAATCCAAACTGCAACAACTTAAAGGACTGCAAAGACATTAACATAGGTATCGATGGCATTGATCAAGAATGGCTATAAATACTACAATAAGACATTCAATCAGATATACTGGTCTCCTGGCAGAGAAGAAAAACTCTCCCTACGAAGTAGCTTTGAATAAATAAGTAAATAAAATCAAACTTGAATTGGCTCAAGCCTGTAGATTTAACTAGCAATGTATAGGAAATACAGAAGGTAGCAGTTCATGTTAAATGACAATATGGGGATGCAATCAGCAAAACTCAGACTCTGCAGGAAAATCTACAGAACAAATGGTTTCTTTAATAAAGTGCAAGGAGAAAAACTGAAAGAAGATAAAGAAGAAATCTTTAAGAAACTTAAGAAGCATATTTTTTCTAAATAGCTGAGACCTAAGTTATATTTCTATTAAGTCATATAAGGCCCTCTTGCACACAGATACTCCCTAAGCAATAAATGCAAGGACTTCAGCACATTTTTGTATAATTTTAAACTGTCAGATTATACATGACCCACAAAATATAACATTTGGCCCAGCAACAATTCATATACATATGAATACATATTCACTACAGTTTGGAACATCAAAAATAAAAGCAAAAACAGGAATTTAGGTCTATTATCATAAGGCCAATTAAATAATCATAAATACAAACAACAGAGGTCATTAAAAATTATAATAATGTTCATTGACATAAAAAAAATTTCTAAGTGGCGGAGCACGGTGGCTCATGCCTATAATCCCAGCACTTTGGGAGGCCAAGGTGGGTGGATCACAAGGTCAGGAGTTCAAGACCAGCCTGGCCAAGATGGTGAAACCCCATCTCCACTAAAAATACAAAAATTAGCTGGGTGTGGTGGCGGGTGCCTGTAATCCCAGCTGCTCAGGAGACTGAGGCAGAGAATTGCTTGAATGTGGGAGGCAGAGGCTGCAGTGAGCTGAGATCATGCCACTGCCCTCGAGCCTGGGTGACAGAGCGAGACTCCCATTTAAAAAAAAAAAAAAAAATTTCCAAGTTTCATTGTAGCGGGAAAAAATGCAGGTTATCCAATAACATGCACATTATAAACTCATTTATTTAAAATCATGTCTGAGTGTCTATGTATACATAGAGTTATCTGAAAGGATGATTACCAAAATGTTAACTAAGAATACCTTTAAATGATGTTAACACGAATTATTTTGAGTAATGAGAATGATTTATTTTTACTTTATTATCCTTTTTTTTTTTTTTTTTTTTGAGATGGAGTTTCGCTCTTGTTACCCAGGCTGGAGTGCAATGGCGCGATCTCGGCTCACCACAACCTGTGCCTCCTGGGTTCAGGCAATTCTCCTGCCTCAGCCTCCTTAGTAGCTGAGATTATAGGCACGTGCCACTATGCCCAGCTAATTTTTTGTATTTTTTTAGTAGAGTCAGCATTTCACCATGTTGATCAGGATGGTCTCGATCTCTTGACCTCGTGATCCACCCGCCTCGGCCTCCCAAAGTGCTGGGATTACAGGCTTGAGCCACCGCGCCCGGCCTATCCTTTTCTTTATTATTCAAATTTTCTACATGAGTTTTTCTGTATACTATATTTAGAAAAATTATACTATATTTAGAAAAATTATTTTTCATTTTTATATTCTAAAAACAAACCATATACAGGAGAAACCTCCATTCACTCAATCATTTAATATCAGTTTGATACTTACAGAACAATGTTATTGTCTTCTCTAAAGATACAAGGAGAAAGGAAACATAATCGGAAGTAGAAATATGTAAGCATTTGCAACTTGACATCACACAAAACATTTTATGAGTCAAGGGTAGCAGGTATTATGCAAGAACACAATCTGAATCAATCTGATGTGATCCCACTGAGAAATCCCATATACCTAGGGTAGATAGGCTATGGAACCAAGGTAGGTCAAGGAATTCTGGCCCTACCCTTACACTGTCCACAGGAATTGATCATATTACCATTCTAACTGGTGCTGGATTATACACATAAGGCACAGGCTAATTTAGAGCACCAGCTAAACAGATGTAACAAAATAAATTTTGAAAAGAATTTGATATGAAATATTACTTTTGATTTATACATATATAATAGTCATTTACATTCACTTATTCAACAAATATTTACTGGCCACCCTCTATCACCCAAGTTCAGTGCTAAGTGCAGAGTTAGAGGTGAACAAGACAGATGCATTCCCTGTCCTCTCAAGTCTTGCACTCTAAAATAGCAATACATTTTCCACTAAACAAATTTCTTCGGGTTGCCACAGAGTAACAGTGATTAGGAACACTTACTCTGGAGCCAAACTGCCTAGGATTTAATCCTACCTCACCCATTTACTAGTTACATAACTTTGAGCAAGTTATTTAACATTTATTGTCTGGATTTCCTCATCTGGAAATAACAGCACCTCCTTTAGAGAGTTTTTTGAAAATGAGATATTTAATAAGTAAACTGCTTAGAAGAGAGCCACCACATATTAAACACTCAGAAATCCATGCCTACAAAATTTTGTTACATTTTTCACAGAGATGTTGGTATAGATTACAACAAGGTACACAAAAGTCCTTAACTTATCTTCAACACTAACTTATTTATCACTTTCTTTACATTTAGAAATTTTTGAGACTGTTTGGAAAACTGTGATTGAAAACAGCATATTTAATGTTTGAGTCTATTTGGCAAAAACATGGTCAAGGTAGAATCTCTCAGATGGAGAAGGCTATACTTAAGAATCTCAGCCGGGCACGGTGGCTCACGCCTGTAATCCCAACACTTTGGGAGGCTGAGGCGGGTGGATCACAAGGTCAAGAGATAGAGACCATCCTGGTCAACATGGTGAAACCCCGTCTCTACTAAAAATACAGAAAATTAGCTGGGCATGGTGGCGCGTGCCTGTAATCCCAGCTACTCAGGAGGCTGAGGCAGGAGAATTGCCTGAACCCAGGAGGTGGAGGTTGTGGTGAGCCAAGATCATGCCATTGCACTCCAGCCTGGGTAACAAGAGCGAAACTCCGTCTCCAAAAAAAAAAAGCATCTATCAGTCAGGCCAGGCATGGTGGCTCATGCCTGTAATCCCAGCACTTTGGGAGGCTGAGGCAGGCAGACCACTTGAGGCCAGGAGTTTGAGACCAGCCTGGCCAACATGGCAAAACCCATCTCTGCCAAAAATACAAAAGTTAGCCAGGTGTGGTGGCATGAGCCTGTATTCTCAGCTACTCGGGAGGCTGAGGCAGGAGAATTGCTTGAACCCATGAGGTGGAAGTTTTGTAAGCCGAGATCATGTCACTGCATACTCCAGCCTGGGTGGCAGAACGAGACTCAGTCTCAAAAAAAAAAAAAAAAAAAAAAAACAATATATCATTCTCTAAAACTGTATTATGTCTTTGTTTACTTGTTTATTACCTCTCCTGTAAAGAAAAAAAAAAAAGAAACTCCAAGAGGACAACCATATCGCCAGTGTCCAACACAGTGCCAGAAATAAATGGGTGCTCAACAGTGTTTTTAAATGAACAGGAAGTCCCCACAACACAAAAATATGAATTCAACAGAATTTGAACAAAATGTTTTTGATGTTTGCAAAGCCAGTATCAACTATAGAACTTAATAAATTACATATGAAAATAATCAAATCACCGACTCATAATTTTTTAAACTTTGTTACATTTCATATCCCCAAGACACTTATTACCTAATCCATGTAACTGTGCCTACAGTTTAACTCCAAAGAAATAACAAAGAGAATCTTTCAATTATACTCTTTTCTTTTGAAGCAAGTTATTTACATTTTTATGAAAATTATTTGCTATGACTCAAGACTAACAACAAAATGAAAGCAACCATGGCTTTTTTTCCCTCTTATGTTAGTTAACTATAGGTGGGAAAATGAGAAGCTTTGATTATGCAAATTAAAGCAGAATCTATTATCTCTTTCCTGATCTATGTCCTCCTGATCATGGAGGGTTTTTAAGCAACGTTAGTTTCGCATATTAGGAATCACAGTCAGTTAACTATTGCAGCTAACTGATGGGCTGTATTTGCCAACTCTATCAGTTTGACCCAGCTTCCAGAGCTTAATGGTCCTCCAGGCTAAAAGAGAAAGCTGATCCATCAGGCTTGCATTAGCATAGAATCACACTCCAAGCTTATTGATGTGTGCTCAGCATAACTACCATCCCCAGCACCCAGCTCAGTCCATTATTTTCATTTTAACTCAAGTCATTTGTATGGTTGTCTGCCCCAGTTAAAGCTCCAGCAAGACTGGTACTTAAATGAATTTGTGAGAAAGCAGACAAATGCCCCCTGAACTTTCTGCACTTTGCTATCAAGGCTTGCTAACATAAAATATACTAGTACTCTCAGGGCCACTTAGTGAGCATATCAAGAATAGCCTATTGCGGGGGATATGGGGGAGTCACTTACTACCCTATTAGCCATCAAGGAGTGTGATGATTAAATGATTTTTTAACTGTAATTTTAAAGCACTGTTCTGATTTCTGCTGAAAGCTATTTATAAAAATAAATTTCATAACAGTTACATCTTTGCTGCTTAAATACCTTTCTCTTTTAAAATACAGAATACACACTAAAATAAATGTTCCCAATAATAATACATTTCATCACCTAGGGAAATGTTACATTTAATGGTAACAAGAAAAACAACAATCTATAACAACCAGGCACTTAATGTGCACAAAACCCCATAATAAGAAGGGATTTAATGTGTGTATAAACCCTGTAATGGGCTTGTATGTAATCAGGCATTTGAGGTATACATAAAATCACTTTAATTGTAAATCTTTAAAATGAAAATAAAGTGCTTGTATAGCTGTTTTGAATATACAATAACTTGAAATTTTAAAGCTGGTCTTCAAAACTATTTCCTATGAATTTACATAGTGCTTACAACTATAATTCTGAGAGAATCTGAAAAGGGTACTGCTATTCCTAAATCTTTTTTTTTCCCTCCACTTAGAAAGGTCTACAGAGGTATAGCGGCTGGCCCAGATCCCACAGTAAGTTAGTGTATCTAAAACTCAAAAAATTGGTGGTGAATTTTCAATTTGTTTATCTGTCATGTAAAAACTTCAGGATATGATATTTTTGCCTCACTACTTGTCTTATTTTTATACTTGAGAAGTTAAAACTCAACGTGAGAGTCTTTCTATCCCAAGTAGCTTTCCTCTTTATGTATATAACTACAGACTTTAGAAATCTCATATTACTGCAACTAGAAGAAGAAGAAAAAAACACTTTAAAATAATTTAATCTATCAAGTGTTGCTATAGAAGTATTCATTTGTAATCACCTTTCATCGATTTCTCACATCTCCCTAGAGAGAGAATGGAAAGTTAACATTCGTAAACTATTAAAACATTACAGAAAAGCTGGTTGTTAGATTAAAAATAGATTCTGACTCTTGCATCTTTACAAGATGTATGATTATATAAAAATGTCTTTCTAAATGCTGTTTTTAATTCTGAGAAGCACAGTAAGACAGAACACCAAAAACCCCTGAAAGTAGACCTTTTCATCTTGAATGTACTGACAGAATGGCAAATAAAGAAGCTGACATTTATTGAGCACCTACTTTGTGTCAGACAGTATTTACTTACATGATCTCATTTAACTGAAATATACGACAAGGTTTGGTTTGATAACTCTCAATTTACAGTCTCATGAGGTGACTCAGACACTTGCTACAAGTCACAGAGTTGGCCAGGCACAGTGGCTCACACCTGTAATCCCAGCACTTTGGGAG